GTCTATGGTCACTGTCTCTTTTTCTTTTTCCTCTTCTGTTGTTTTGAACCCATAGCATGCAAACCTTTGTCCCCTCCAATCCACCAAATCTGCCTTATCATGATCACCAATGACCTCCATTTTGCTTTAATCCATTGGTCAATTCTCATGCTTTATCCTACTTGAGATTTTAGTAGACTCTGGCTGTTTATCACTCTTTCCTCTCCTCTGCAAACTCTTTATTTGGCTGCAAGGTCACAACAGTCTCCTGGTTCCCTCCTTCATGTCTTTGCTATTCTTTCTCAGTCTCCTTTGTTGGTTCCTCTCATCTCCTTGACCTTTAAACTTTTGAGTTCCCCATGGCTCAATGCTTGCACTTTTTCTCCTTTTAATCCTCACACACTCCCTTGGTGATCTTATCCATATGACCTGGGTTTTAAATACTATCTATAAGCCGATGACACCCAAATTTACATCTCCACTTGGATGTGTAATAACTCAACAAGACTGAAATTGAGTTACTGACCTAATCCCTGAAACCTGATTCTATTTGTAGTCTTCCCAGCTCAGGAAGTGGGAACATCATGCTTCTATTTCTTTAATTTTTTTTTTTGAGACAGAGTCTCCCTCCATTGCCCAGGCTAGAGTGAGTGCTGTGGTGTCAGCCTAGGTCACCTCAAACCTAGCAGCCTAGCAACCTCAAACTCCTGGGCTCAAGTAATCCTCCTGCCTCAGCCTCCCAAGTAGCTGGGACTATAGGCGCGCACCACCATGCCTGGCTAATTTTTTCTATACATTTTTAGTTGTCCAGCTAATTTCTTTCTATTTTTAGTAGAGACAGGGTCTCGCTCTTGCTCAGGCTGGTCTGGAATTCCTGAGCTCAAGTAATCCTCCTGCCTCAGCCTCCCAGAGTGTTAGGATTACAGAGGTGAGCCACCGGTGCCCGGCAATCATGCTTCTATTTCCTCAGGCCCCACACTTTTGAGTGTGTTTCTCTCACACCCCACTTCTAACTCTTTTAAAAGGTAAGTCAGGCTACCATGACATCTGTCTCTTTTTGCTAGCTTTCAATCCCATTCTGAGGAAATGCCAAAGACCTCTCAATAGCCTCTGAAGCCAGCACTCTGGGAGGCTGAGGCAGGCGGATTGCTCAAGGTCAGAAGTTCGAAACCAGCCTGAGCAAGAGCGAGACCCCGTCTCTACTATAAATACCAAGAAATTAATTGGCCAACTAAAAATATATATTAAAAAAATTAGCCGGGCATGGTGACACATGCGTGTAGTCCCAGCTACTTGGGAGGCTGAGGCAGCAGAATTGCTTGAGCCAAGGAGTTTGAGGTTGCTGTGAGCTAGGCTGATGCCGGGGCACTGACTCTAGCCTGGGCAACAGAGTGAGACTCTGTCTCAAAAAAAAAAAAACCAAAAAAAAACCCCTCTGAAGCACACTGGGACCTACCTCATTCCTCACACCTTTATCTCTCTGAAACACACTCACACCTTGTACTTGTTCATTCTTTCCCAATGTTCTTGTTCCAGAGAGTCGCACGGCTCCCTCCCTCACCTCCTAGCCCTTACTTAATTGTCACTTAACAAAAATCATTGTCCACCCTATCTAAAATTACAATGCTCCCATACTTCCTGTCTTTCTCCCCACTTTATATTTTTAAAAATTGGGGGGTTTTTGTTTTTAAAATTAATACACTTTATTTCTTAGAGCATTTTCACATTAGCAGAAAAATGAAGCAGAAAGTAGTTCCCATGTATCCTCCCCCCCACCCCAGTTTCCCCTATTATTAGCATCTTACATTGCTGTGATACATTTGTTACCACTGATGAACCAATATAGATACATTATTTATTTTTCTTTATATGTTTTATAAAAAATTGTGGGGAGGAGGGGTCTTCCACTGAGGACCAGAAAACCTGCTAGACAAATTCTAAAAGAGCTGTAACACTTGGATACATTATTATTAACTAAAACCTACAGTTTACATTAAGGTTTACTCTGTTGTACATTCCATGGCTTTTGACAATTGTATAATATCATGTATCCATTATCACAGTATCACACAGAATAGTCTCAGTGCCCTAAAAGTACCCTGTGCTTCACCTATTCCTCTCTCTCTCCCCTCACCTGAACCCTTGGCAACCTCTGGTTTTTCCATGTCTCTATAGTTTTGCCTTTTCTAGAATGGAATCGTGCAGAGTAAGTACCCTTTTCAGATGGGCTTATTTCACTTAGTCATTCACATTGAAGATTCCTCCTTGTCTTTTCGCGGCTTGCTAGCTCTGCTGTGTTTTTTTCCTTGGCAGCTGTCATTCTAATAGTTGTTTGTCTTCACCTCAGGAACGTATGTTTCATGACAGGGAATCTCGTCTGCTTTGTTCACTGCTGTAGCCCCACCGCCTGAATAGTGCTTGACTCACAGATGGGGTTCAAGAAATATTGGTTGATTTAAACTTTTCTTAAATGAATGGTGATAGAAGAACAAGCCATTCTATCCAGGACCCTCCTGGCCAGGGAATTTGTATAGTGTTTAGCTTTCTGGACCTCTAGAATTTCAACTCCACTGTCTCTGACTTTGGATGAGTCACCTGACTTAATCTGTTTGTGCCTCAATTTTTTTCTTCAGTAAAACATAGATAATAATAGTACTTCCCGGCTGGGCGTGGTGGCTCACGCCTGGAATCCTAACACTCTGGGGGGTAGAGTGGGGAGGATTGCTCGAGGTCAGGAGTTCCAGACCAGGCTGAGCAAGAGTGAGACGCCCCCCCCATCTCTACAAAGATAGAAAAATTAGCCGGGCGTGGTGGCATGCGGCTGTAGTCCCAACTACTTGGGAGGCTGAGGCAGGAGGATCGCTTAAGCCCAGGAGTGGGAGGTTCCAGTGAGCTATGACGACGCCACCGCACCCTAGCTGGGGCAACAGAGTGAGACTCCGTCTCAAAACAAAAGACAACTAAACAAACAAACAAACAAACAAAAATACTAAGAAATAATAGTTCCTCCCTCAAGGGCTGTGGCAAGGATTGACCGAGTTCATATACATAAAGTTCTAATAAACCCTGCACATAGTACGCCTATACGCGTAGTGTTGTTATTCCGCGCAGGGGCCCCAGAGCAGGAGGTGGGAATGGCGCGCCGGGCGCTTACATCCACCTCGGGATTCTAAGCGGGTCGTTCGGAGAAGGAAGAGCGCTGGGAGCCGCAGCAAGGCGGGAGAGGGAGGCTGGGGGGCGAGGGGGAGCACTAAGATCCTTTGCCAATTACTTTACAAAACACTTTTACATTCTAAACTCTTTCAATCTTCACAAAATTAATCTTGTCGGGTGGATGTTATAATCCCCATTTTACCCATGAGAAAACAGGTTCCGGGATGTTGAGCGACTTGCCCGATGCCACCATATGGCAAGTGGTGGCCCCAAGATTCCCATCCAGAAGCTCCCCTTCACACTTGGATGCAGCACGAGTATTTTCAGGGTGCACCTAAGAGCCTGGGTCTGGTGTCCCGGGACCCTGGGGCTAACAAAACCACCTTTAAAATCCACGCCGCTCGTGGGCGGCTGCGTGTGCTGCAGGCTGCGGAGGCGTCCGGGGGGGCGCCAGTGTGCGCAAGGTGGCACACCGGCCTTGCAGATGGATTCTGCAAGTGAGTGCTGATTAGAGCATCAAAGTTTTTCATTTTCCGAGCAACTCCTCCCTTTCCCCCGCCTCCAGGGGGTGGGGCGACAAAGCGCGGGAAAACTCGGCCTCGACCCCACCCCCACACCTGTGCTGGGGGCGGGGAAAAGGCGAGCTCTCAAATGGGAAATGGACCTGGGGCCCCTCCTTCCCATGCTCAGGAAGCCTATCCGTTGCCGCTTTAAGATCCCTTTGGAAATAGGCCAAGCCACGCCAGCACTCCTAACGTCACTTGTCCCCCACTTCCGGTCCGCAAGCCCTTCCCAGCCTTCAGGTCCCGATTCCTTCCAAACTCCGAATCTTTCCGAGCCCGCCCGCAGAGGGAGGGGCCGTGGGTGACGCCATCACCCAGGAGCTGGCCCGCGCAAGGACTCCATCCATCCAGATTATATGACGATTTAGGCAGCGGGAAGACTGCGAGGAAATAGTCAACCGGATGACGTAATGTTTGGGGTGGCGTTCCATTCTGTGATTTCTGCACGGCATCATTGACAATGGGGTTGAGTTTGAAAAAGCACAAACGGATCGACACCCCCGGGCTCCGCTCCGACTCGATGAGGTTCTGCTGCATGGGCCCACCACGCAGGGGCTGAGTTCCTCACATTTGCATAAGGGAACAGCAGCCTCCAGCTTCCAGCGGCCAATAGGGAGTGAGGGGGCGGGGACGCACCTGGGATAGTCTCCCCTCCAGTAGGAAAGCCCGGAGTCAGGCTGGCTTCTCTCTAAGCGACAGTGATGGAGGCCAATCGTTTTTGAGATGTGCAGATGGGGCAGGTGGACCTCGGCACAGCCAATGAGGAGCGGTGTCTTCAGGGGGCCTAGGCCCCGTGCCCAATGACGATAAGAGGACGGTGCGGGGCCAGCTCCGAGCGGCAGTCCTTAAGGCCAACCCCGCGCGAGGCTGGGAGGGGCGCAGCGCTGAACGACGGGGGCGCGGGCCAATGGCGAGTGCGGAAGCGGGCAGCCCAGGCCCGGAGCGCGGAGGGAGCTGAGGGAGGGGGGAGGCTGAACCGGAGAGAAGCAGGAAGTAGCGGCGGCCGTCGGGAGGGCGGCGGCGGCTGCGGCGGCTGGAGCCGGGTAGAGACCGCCAGGTCTCGGCCCGCACGAGCAGCGGAACAAGTAAGTGTGCCTGGGGTAATACCCGCCCTTGGCCCCGCCCCCTGGGGGGGCGGGTAAATACCCCCGCCCCTCCCCCACTTGGTCAACTACCCCCTTCTCCGCGCCGCCCCCTGGGGCGGCTTCTAAGAAGGCCCGACGCCGCCTCCATCCCTTAGGGTGGGTGGGCGAAACTCCCAGCCTGTTGAAAGCACAGCCCCTAGGCGAGTAGACCTGGAAGGAGGGTCGGGGATCCCACGTCCTGGCGCCCCCAGCCCAAGAGGCGCCCGAAGTGCGGCCCGGGGACTGGAGGCTGCGGGATGTCGCGACCTAAAATGGTGTCCGTGTCCGGGGGTGGGGGCGGGGGAACTGGGCCTGGCCGGAGCGGAGCCTGCACCCCGACTGAGCGCGGGTCTGCGTCCGGGCTCGAGCAGTACTCGGGTTTGCGCCCCGGGCCCGCCGCGCGCTTCCGATCACTCCTCTGTCTCGAGAGACTCTGGGAGTCCGCGCCGGGAGGAGGCTGCACTGCGCACAGAGGGGAGGGGACGAGGTCCAAGTTGGGACGGACCCAGGCTGGAGAGCAGAGAGTCGTGCTGAGACCGCCTTCTTCCCACTCCCCCTCTTTCCGTGCGTTCCCCCTTCCTTTGCAGTCCTGGGCCCCAGGGTGCTGCGCAGCAACTCCCAAAGGGCCTGGTCTGGCTGAGGCTCGGTCTTCACTTCGCACGCCGGTGGGAGCAAGAGAAGCTCCTTCCGCCTCAGTTTCCCCTCTAGCTTCTCATAAGTACACCCCGCCCCCTCCTCGCAACCCCAGACCTGCTCCCTGCGCCGGCCCACGGCAGATGGCAGGGAGTTAATTCCACCCGCTGCCCAGCTTGGCTGCAACCTAATCGCCGGTCCTTCGCCTTTTCTGCGCAGCAGGCCTTGGGCCTGGGCAGAGAGCAGTGGAGCCTCCACCCTACCTGATCCTGTTCACCCTTGTCTTGTACAGCCCCTTCCTTTGGCTTTTGGGGAAGAACAGAGGGAAAGGAGAGCGGGGGAGATGGGAGCCCTAGGGACAGGGTGCAGCAGTTGCAGAAAGGCCTAGGTGTGCGGTGGGGGAGTCTCCTTGGCCTTGAGGTCCCTGCTTAGTCAACTGTCTGCTTTGGGTGGGTGGTGATTGGATGACCTCTAAGTCACTTGGATGCCAAAGGGGGACGTGGTTGGGGGAGGGGAGTTCACAGGTGTTTTCTCATAGTCCCCCCTGGCCTGAGCTTTACCAGCCCACTCTCCTGAGGCCTGAGAAGAAGGTTGCTCAGCCTCTCTGGTTGGGGAGGGCGCCAGGCTGAGGACGGCCCTGTGGATTCATCAGGGCAGAGACAAGGCATGAAGAGCTTTGTTTAAGCACAGAGTTTGCAGAATTAAGTGAGGGGGTGATGTGAGGGGAGGACTCCTACTTTCTTCTTCTAGTTGGCACCCTTTCCCCCCACCCCCACTTTGGTCCCCAGCTATGCCAGCTGCCACCTGCTGGGACTGTCTCCAGTTACAGTTTGAAGGCTGGAAAGAGGTGAGAGAATTGGCCCTAGGAAATGGCTTGCATCCTGGGCAGGGAATGTGTAAGGATAGAGACTTCTTTAGTTGCTCTTTGAGAACAGAAACACTTATAGGGAGAAACTGGTAGGAGGTAGACCTGGGTCCCTGACACCCTCTGAGCTAGCTTCCTTGTTGATTTAGTGCTACATAAGCCTTGTGGGATTTTTTTTGGGGGGGGGGCTGGGCCAGGTTGGGGTTGGGTGAGACTTCTAGGCTACTATTGCCAAAGGAAAATTGTGAGGGCAAGGAGTTTGGGTCAGGGGGTAGACTGAGGCGAGGAGCCTGGCTTGTCCCTACTGTGGCAGCTGTGCTGGATAAGCTTGTACCCTGGGGGTTTTAGCCCTGAGAGAGTAAGATGGGGAGGGCGGGCCGCTGGGGAAGGTGGTGAGCGAGCAGCAGGTGTTTGTGACAGGAGAGGCCTAGGCTGGGGCCCTTGTGACCAGGCTGCCGTCACCGTTTTCCCCTCTGCCTCTCTTCTCTTTGTCTCTTTCTGTTCCTGTGTCTTATTCTTTCCATCTAGATCTCTTGGGTGATTTTACTGAGTCCATTTCTCCCTACTGACCAAGCTTGATCTCCAGGTGCAAGTGATGGCCCCAAGTTCTCCAGACTTGACCTTACATGACCCCTGACTCTTATCTCTGACCCTAGCCCCAGATTCCCAGTGCTTATTCCTTCCCAGCTCCTCCTTGGCTTGAGGTGTCCTTGTTTGGCCCAGTTGGAATGATCAGTCATATTCTGGGTCTGACTTTTACATTTACAGTTTCATGTCATGCTCAGAATAACCCTATGATATATAGATCACTTGCCCCTTTTTCAAACAGCAAAAGGAAGGTACCGAAGTGACTTGCTGCTATAGCTCATGGTCAAGCTGACCCAGAATCATTTCTTAAGTCTTGGCTTAAGTCACTGTCCCTTTGTGCATATGGTCTTTCAGATCTCTGTGGACCCCAGAAGATCCATGAAGAATAGGAATTGTTCTTATGCTGACGTGAATGAGCCTTTAAACTTAGAGCAGCATCATGTATGTCCTTCTTAATAATAGTATCAGTTGATTAGTTCTTTGCTGGGCATAGGAGGGGATGAGCTGACTTCAACCAAGATGCTCACTGAGCTCTCTCTGCCTCTTTTACCTTTCTCTGTATTTTTTCTTTATTTTATCCAGGCTGGAGTGCAGTGGTACGATCATAGCTCACTGCAGCCTCCAGCTCCTGGGCTCCAGTGGTCCTCCTGCCTCAGCCTCCCAAGTGACTGGGACTATAGGTGCACACCACCACATCCAGCTAAGTGTTTAGATTATTTTTTAGAGATGGGGTCTTGCTATGTTGCCAAGGCTGGTCTTGAACTCCTGGTCTCGAGCAATCCTCCCACCTTGGAACTCCTGAAGTGCTGGGATTACAGGTGTGAGCCATTATACCTAGCCCTTCTCGGTATTTCTGAGAAGTCTCTTTTCCTCTGCTTTGTCTGGATATTGGAGCCTGCCTTGTACCTGTCTTCTGATTTTAGGATTTGGCCAAGCAGCACCTCCAGCAGCTCTCTAGTATTCCTGCTATGGTGGAGGGGTACACAAGTTAGAATGTGTACTAGTTCTGAGGATCAATATGGAGATTCTGAGGGAGGAAGTCCAGGGCTCTCTTCCAGACATCTTAGTTTCTCCCCCTTCTCGTTTTCATCAGGTCTGGGACCTGCCGCTATGGGGGACATGAAGACCCCTGATTTTGATGACCTCCTTGCTGCCTTTGACATCCCTGACATTGATACGAATGAAGCCATCCACTCTGGGCCAGAAGAAAGTGAGGGGCCAGGAGGCCCAGGGAAGCCAGAACCCAGCGTGGGAGGCGAATCTGGAGACACAGAAGCAGCTTCTGCTAGGGATGAGCCTGGGGTTCCAGCCCAGGGTTCTGACCATGGCCTGCCACAGCCAGACATTTCCACAGTCAGCGTCATTGTCAAGAACACTGTGTGTCCTGAGCAGTCTGAGGCCCTGGCTGAGAGTTTAGAAGGGGATGGGGCCCAGGCTGTGGGGTTGACTAAAGAAGGGTCTGTGGAGCCTCATCTGATGCAAAATGGTTTTGGGGGCCCTGAGCCATCCCTCCCAGGAACCCCTCACTCCCCAGCTCCTCCCACTGAGAGTTCCTGGAAAGAAAAAGCCATGGAAGGCAAAACTCCCTTGGACCTCTTTGCACATTTTGGGACCGAGCCGGGGGAGCATCCAGATCCCCTGCCTTCCTCTGCACCCTCCCCTCCTGAGGAAGGGGTCATGACCCCCCCTCCTTTCCCCTCTCCCTTTGAGCTGGCCCCGCAGAATGGCCCAGGCCTGCTGTCATCTGGTTCTTCCCCACCACTGGGGGCCTTGAAGCAGGGCAGCTGCAGTCCCCCTCAGCCTCAAGGTCCAGCCCAGGGAGCTTTAGGCTCTAGCCTTGAAGCCACGAACATCCCTGTCAGCGCTTCGCCTCCTCGGGTTGCTGGACTTCCCTTCTTCAAGCAGTCTCCAGGGCATGAGAGCCCTCCTGCCTCCCCCAAAGTACCTAGCTGTCAACCCCTGAAGGAAGAAGATGATGAGGGGCCGGTGGACAAGTCTCCCCAGGGAAGTCCCCATAGTCCTTCTAGTGGAGCTGAGGCTGCAGATGAGGACAGCAATGACTCCCCTGCCTCCTCCAGCTCCTCTAGGCCTCTTAAAGTGCGGATCAAGACCATTAAGACATCCTGCGGGAGTATCACAAGGACTGTAACCCGGGTCCCCTCAGACCCTGATCCCCCTGTCCCTTTGGCTGAGGGGGCCTTCCTGGCTGAGGCTAGCCTCCTGAAGCTGTCCCCTGCAACACCAACCCCTGAAGGTCCAAAGGTGGTGAGCGTACAGTTGGGTGATGGTACGAGGCTGAAGGGCACTGTGCTCCCTGTGGCCACCATCCAGAATGCCAGTACTGCCATGCTGATGGCAGCCAGTGTGGCCCGCAAAGCTGTGGTTCTGCCTGGGGGGACCGCCACCAGTCCTAAGACGATTGCTAAGAATGTGCTGAGCCTAGTGCCCCAAGCCCTGTCCAAGGTTGAGGGGCGGGTAGGGCTGGGGACAGGGGGACAGAAGGTGAATGGTGCCTCCGTAGTGATGGTGCAGCCTTCAAAGACGGCCAGTGGGCCAGGTTCAGGGGCTGGCACAGTGATCTCACGGACCCAGTCCAGCCTGGTGGAGGCCTTCAACAAGGTCCTCAACAGCAAGAGCCTGCTGCCTGCCTACAGGCCAAACCTGAGCCCACCGGCTGAGGCTGGGTTAGCCCTGCCTCCAACGGGCTACCGCTGCCTCGAGTGTGGAGACGCCTTCTCACTGGAGAAGAGTCTGGCACGGCACTATGACCGCCGGAGCATGCGCATCGAGGTCACCTGCAACCACTGTGCCCGCCGCCTGGTCTTCTTCAACAAGTGCAGTCTGCTCCTGCACGCCCGCGAGCACAAGGACAAGGGTCTCATCATGCAGTGCTCGCATTTGGTCATGAGGCCTGTGGCCCTTGACCAGATGGTGGGGCAGCCGGACATCACGCCCCTGCTACCTGTGGCTGTCCCACCTGTCGCTGGACCTCTGGTCTTGCCTGCCTTAGGCAAGGGTGAAGGGGCCATCACCTCTACCATTATAACAATTGCTGCTGAGGCCCCTATTCTGCCGCTCTCAGCAGAGCCTCCTGCTGCCCCTACCACCTCTGCTTACACGTGCTTTCGCTGCCTGGAGTGCAAGGAGCAGTGCCGGGACAAGGCTGGCATGGCAGCCCACTTCCAGCAGCTTGGTCCCCCTGCCCCTGGGACCAGTAGCACTGTGAGTTGCCTTTCACAGCTCTTATCTGGGGTGGGACAGCCAGATGCTGTGGGGATAGGATCTAGGAAGGTGTTGGGGGCTTGGCTAGGAGAAGTAAGGGGGCCAGGCCACTCCTCACCAACTTGCCTTGTTTAACCCATTGACAGGTGTGCCCAACCTGCCCCATGATGCTCCCCAATGGTTGCAGCTTCAGCGCCCACCAGCGCATGCATAAGAGTCGACCCCCGCACGTCTGTCCCGAGTGTGGGGGCAACTTCCTACAAGCCAATTTTCAGACCCATCTCCGGGAGGCCTGTCTGCATTTCTCTCGCCGTGTAGGATACAGGTGCCTCATACCCCTCCTTCCATGCTGTTTTAGGGTCTCCTGTCTCCTGGCACCTGCCTTTCAGAGGGCCTCTTGGGGACATCCCCCATCTCTCCTGCTGCATTCCTCAGCCCTGTCGTGTTGGCAAACTCAGCCCTGAGGTATCATATCCTGCCTTCCCGTCGTTCGTCATGGAGATGGGGGGAGCAGGGTTGCCTCTGGAGCTCCAGCTTCACCCGGCCAGGCCTCCCTTGGGGAACTTGGCCTCTGCGGCTCCCTCTTGCCCCGCCTTGTTCACGTTCCATTGCTCGTTTCCTTCTTGGAGGACACCCAGCCCCTCAGAATAAGTGGGGTGGGGGTGGGCATGGAGATGCCCCCCACCTAACCATAGGGCCTCCCACTTCCTCCCAAGGTGCCCCAGCTGTGCAGTGGTGTTTGGGGGTATGAACTCTGTCAAGTCCCACATCCAGGCGTCGCACTGCGAGGTTTTCCACAAGTGCCCCATCTGCCCCATGGCCTTCAAGTCTGCACCCAGCGCCCATGCCCACCTCTACAGCCAGCATCCTAGCTTCCTCACGCAGCAGGCCAAGTGAGACCGGGGGCAGGATGGGAGGAGGAGGGGGTGGGCTGGAGGACAGGGTGCCCACTCACCCTGCCTAACGTCCACACTGTCCTTCCACCTCCGCAGGATGATCTACAAGTGCGGTATGTGTGATACAGTCTACACTCACAAACCCCTCCTCACCTCACACTTCGACCAGCACTTGCTGTCCCAGCGTGTCAGTGTCTTTAAGTGCCCATCTTGTCCTCTGCTCTTTGCCCAAAAAAGGACCATGCTGGAACATCTCAAGGTACAGGACAAAGGGATGGGGGATGGGTGCTTAGTTGTATTGACCTGAGGCTGGGGTCACGTACCTCAGCAGCCAGGCCCTCCCTCATAGCAGCCCTCCCCCTTGTTTCCCTCTCACAGAACACCCATCAGTCTGGGCGTGTGGGGGAGGAGCCTGCTGGGAAAGGAGCCGGGGGTGCCCTTCTGACCCCCAAGACTGAGCCTGAGGAGCTGGCTGTGTCTCAGGGAGGGGCAGCCCCAGCTACTGAGGAATCATCTTCATCTTCAGAAGAGGAGGAACTACCCAGCTCCCCTGAGCGTCCCCGCCCAACCAAACGGCCCCGGCGGGAAGTAGGAAGCAAAGGCATCAAGGGTGGGGGTGGTGGCAGCAGCAGCGGAGTTGGTGGTGGCGGTGGTGGTGGCAGTGGCGGCGGCGGCGGCGGCTGCAGTGGTGGTGGTGGCAGCAATGGCAGTGGCGGCGGCTGGACCTGTGGCCTTTGTCACTCCTGGTTCCCCGAGCGTGATGAATATGTGGCTCACATGAAGAAGGAGCATGGCAAGGTGAGTGGGCCCCACGAGGAGTAAGATGGGCTGGAGGGCAGTGTTGGGACTGGTCTGTGTGACAACTGGGATGGCGTCTGGAGCCTGGCTGTGATATTTCCTATCCCTGCCCTCCTAGTCAGTGAAGAAGTTTCCCTGTCGCCTGTGTGAGCGCTCCTTCTGCTCTGCCCCCAGCCTGAGGCGCCACGTCAGAGTCAATCACGAGGGAATCAAGCGAGTTTACCCATGCAGGTAACCCTTACCCCCCCAGTACCCCACAGAACCTTCTCACCTGCATCTTGTCTAAGTGGACTGAGGGTTGAGGCCTCCCTCTGCTCTGGTGGCCCCCTCCTCTCAGGAGCCTCGGCCTTGGGGCTGTGCCCTGGTGCCATCTTGCCCACTGTCCCCCTTGCAGGTATTGCACAGAGGGAAAACGCACCTTCAGCAGCCGCCTGATTCTGGAGAAACATGTCCAGGTCCGGCATGGCTTGCAGCTTGGGCCCCAGTCCCCTGGCCGGGGGAATGCCCTGGCTCGTGGTCCCGGTGCCAGAGCCCAGGTAGGTATAGGCCCAGACTGCTGTGTTAGGGCTGTGAAAGTGGGAAACTGCCTGCTGTTGACTCTGGCCTCAGGAATTTAGGGGGGCAGGGTGCAAGGGACCGGACTAGGGATGATGGTGAGGCCTGGTTTCTGCCACTCTACTCCAGGGGCCAGGTCGGAAACGCCGCCAGTCTTCTGACTCTTGTAGTGAGGAGCCTGACAGCACAACACCGCCAGCCAAGTCCCCCAGAGGAGGACCCGGGTCGGGAGGCCATGGCCCCCTGCGCTTCCGAAGCAGTGGACCGGTGGAACAGAGCCTTGCCGTGGGGTTGCGGATGGGTGGTGGTGCCCAGCAGTGCCTCGACTGTGGCTTGTGCTTTGCCTCCCCTGGCTCCCTGAGCCGGCACCGTTTCATCAGCCACAAGAAGAGACGGGGTGTGGGGAGAGCCGGTGCCCTGGGGCTGGGCGATGGGGAGGAGGAGGCCCCTCCTCTGTCAAGGTCTGACCCAGATGGTGGAGATTCACCTCTGCCTGCTTCTGCAGGCCCACTGACCTGTAAGGTCTGTGGCAAGAGCTGCGATAGCCCTCTCAACCTCAAGACCCATTTCCGCACGCATGGCATGGCGTTCATCAGGGCTCGGCAAGGGGGCAGTGGGGACAACTAGGCCTCAAGCCTGGAACTGACCAGTACCCCCTTCCCTGGAAGCCCAGTTTTCCCTGCTGCTGCCTGGTCCCTGGGCTGGGAAGTTTCATTAGCATTCATATTTTGTTCAAATGCTCTCTCCCCAACCCCAAAGAAAAAGCTTTTGAGGATTATATTAATAGTTATTTGCAGCCTCCCTTTGGGTTTGGCCCTTGGGCCCTAGTAGAGTGGGCCTCCATTTCTCCTTTCTGAGCCCAACACTAATTATGCTCCTGCTGCAGAACCCCCAGTATGGGACTGGGGGTGGGAGGATGGGACTTTCATATGCCTGCCAGACAGGCACAGGGAAGGACTGATGGGAGGCTCATGGACACCACTCTATAATTCCTTTAGGCACAGACTGGAATTTTCCTCCTCTGGGCCAGGCCCTGCCATAACACCCCCCACCCCCAACTCCCTGGCACTCAAGCCCCCCACCCCTGCAGTGCCTTTCACTTTTTTTCCCCCCCAGAAATTCAGGGGCGGAGTTAATGGGGGTGAGTCCTGTCAAGGGGGGCCCAGGGAGAGGAGGGGACAGGCTCTCAGGAATCCTTTATTCTTGTAGTAATACTAACAGTGGGGGAAATAGGAGGGAGAAAACCAGACCATTAAAACTGCTCGTGGTTTAACCCCTATTCAGGCCTCTCTTTGTATGTTACTTGGATGATGTGGACTTGGGAGGGAGCAAGAGTCAAAACTTCTCAGGGAAGAAGTGATGTTGAGCAACAGGCAGGGAAAAGGCAGTCTTCCTCCCCTTTCCGTGTGGTGCCTTCTGTATCTTGGACACTGAGGTGTCTGTTTACTCCTCATCACCCATCCCCCTCCCTTACTGCCAAAAAACCAATTTGGAAATGACACAGATGGCTAACTAAGGACTTTATTTCAAACAAAAATTAAAAATAAAAAATTGAGAGCTATTTCCCTGGGTGTGGGGAAGGGATCAGGGTAAAGAATTCCCCACAGCTAGGCTAGTACCCTCAATACATGGGAGGGGTTGTGGTAATTCCCTTCCTTGCCCTTGAGGTGGGAACCTCAGTAAGTTCAGAGCCCACCTATCAGGGGGAACCTGGGCTTGGGGCCAGTTCCTGGGAGGGGTAGAATTGGGCAGCAGCCTGGCCAAAGGCCAACCACAGGATTGAGTCCTAAGTGCCAAGGACCTACTCTTCCACCATCCTGGGACCCAGAACAGACGAAGAGGATGGCCAGTGGAGAACCTCTCAGATCCTGGCGAGAAGAAAGGCCCTGGCGTCCCTCACATTCATCACCTCTGTTCTCTGGAGGGCAGTGAGTCCTGGAGTCTGTCAGGTGGTAATACTGACACAGAGCCTGAGGGCAGGGGAGCCCCAGCAAGTCAGGACCCCATAGCTGGCTCTCCCACCCCTCGGCAAGCTCTCGCGGTTACCACATGATCCTTTGTATTTCTTGCCTTCCATTTCCCTTGTGTGGATGGTTGGGTAGGTGGTTTCCTGGTTTGGGGATTCTCAGATAAGGGCCCCTCTGGGAGGGTCCCCTAGATCCCCCACCACCCCAGGCCTGAGAAGGAGGGTATCACATGATGCCGTTGGTGAGGTACTGGAAGCCGTCATAGAGTTTAGTGGTGATGGACCGCATGCTGCCGTCCACCATCTGCTCCACCAGCAGCTGAAGCTGCTCCTCAGTCATGCTCATGTGGAACCTCTCTTTGAGGTTGCGAATGGTGCTGGAGCCATGGAAGCAAGGAAGCTGTGAACCTGGGGGAAGCAGTAGGAGTTGAGGGTCACTGATGGATAGGAGGTGGGCAGTAGCAATAGCCATAGCAAATACAGAGCCAGGGGTATCTGAAGTGGCCCTTCCCTCCCACCTCAGAGATCCCTGACAGTGTGGATGCAGTTCTGCTTGGGCGGAAAGAAGGAAATGGCACAAGGCCCTGACTCAAGCCCCTCATCATCCCATGCTCCTCAGCCCCTCTGTAGGTGAGGGCATATGGGTAGAGGGAGAAGAGGACCAACACATCTCCCCAAGTAAGGGGTAAGGGGGCAGAATCTTAGAACCCAGAGGGCAGGCTGGGAAGAGGCTCTCGGGAATGGGCCCTGAGCTGGGCACTTATCTGGTTGCAGGCCTCTGCCTATGCTACGTCTGACACTCACAGATGACCTGGGCCACCGTCATCACGGGGCCAGACGGGGATGCTCCTGAGCAACGACGACAACCTGTGGGGTAGGGGCAGGGATGGGGAGGAGGAGGAGACTGGCAGCTCAGACCTCTGGTGTATACCTGGGGCCTTGGGGCGGGGGAAGGGATGAGGACAGGAGGGGGTCCTGGGCCAAAGACTAGATGGTCAGGCAATGAGAAAACAGCAAAATGGAAGATAAAGATGAGAGACAGAGGAAGTACTTCTCAGTTCAGAGCAGGAGGGGTGAGTAGTGGGAAAGGGAAGCGTGGCTAAGGACAGGGCAATCAGAGGTCATAGTGGAATAAGGAGGACAAATGGAAAGAGGAGACTGAAAAACTTAGAGCTGGACAAGGGACAGGGAGGTGAGAGGGACCAGAAGGTTGTAAATGGGACTGTTCTCTCCCTGAGGATGCCTAGGAGGTAGTTTCTGCTGCTCCTTCCCCCACCCCCCAGACCTAGCTCTGCCAGGGTTAGGAGGAATGTCCTGAAGGAGAAACAAGGCACTGGATCTGAGCTGGAAACCCTTTGGGAACCCGCTCCCGCAACCCAAATCTTAAGGTGGAATCAATTTTCCAGAAGTTCTATGTCCAGGGCCCCAACCTAAGTGGGAATCCTAAAGCACTATGGACACCTGGCCTCTCCCCAGCCCCACCTTGCTGCATGATCTCCACGATCTGCACCACCTTGTCCATGTGTTTTCGAGCAGCGATCAGCCCTTGCAGCATGAGCATCTTATAGTAGTTGAACATGTCACCATCTAGGCCACCCATTACCTGGGAAGGGAGGAGAGAGTTGTGTGTACATGTGGACTAACAGGCCGACCAGAACACCCCCCTTCCTCTCTTGGGGCAATCATTCCAAACTCCATTGTTTCCCTACTCCCTAATCAGGCAGGAAGCTCCCAGGAAATCCTGCTTTACTCTAATTTGTGGGGAGCCATCAGCTTCCCCTCTCATGACAGAGAAAGAACATAGTGACCCCAGAGGCACCTCTCCTTCCTGACTCACATCCACAAACTCTGTGGTCAGCTTAAAGGCTGATGTCTCAAAGCCCAGGTTTCGGGGTGAGCTGGACAGGATGAAGCCAAAGTCGATGTGGATGATGTGGCCTTCTGCGTCCAAAAGGATGTTCCCATTGTGTCTGAGGAGGGAAAGGAGAGCAGAGGAAGAGGCAGTAGTCAGTCTGACAGGCTGGAAGCTCAAGCCACAATATATTGGCCACATGACACTACTGGGGAGTCTCCTGCCATGTTTCCTGCTGCCTATAACTCTGGGTCCATTCTCCTAGGACCTAAAGCTAGCAGTGGAAAGAAAGGAAGTCAGAAAAGTAAACTGCTAACAAAGGCTGTGGGGTCTAGAATTGCTATTAACAACTTAATAAGAATAGCTTAAGATTATTCCAATTTCCCAGAAGTTTCACTTACAGCGCCCAGAAGGATACCAATGAAGCAGTGAATCCAGAAGCACAGAAAGGAACCCAAGCACTTTGCTCAGAGGTAAACCTCCATTCTGAACCTATTTACCAGTGTTTTATTTGTAATTCCTGTTAGCCCGATGCAGAGCAGAAGCAGCAGCAGAAGGGAGCAACAGAGGCAAGTAGGCTGAGTGGAGCTGAAATGTAAAATAGTGTTGGGGCTTCAAGGGAGTAAGTTTTAAATCACTTGTGTAGGCCAGGTGTGGTGGCTCACGCCTATAATCTCAGCACTTTGAGAGGTCATAGCAGGAGGATTGTTTGAGCTCAGGAGTTTGAGACCAGCCTAAGCAAGAGTAAGACCCTGTCTCTACAAAAAGTAGAAAAATTAGCTGGGGGTCATGGCACACGCCTGTAGTCCCAGCTACTCAGGAGGCTGAGGCAGGAGGATCGCTTGAGCCCAGAAATTTGAGGTTACTGTGAGCTATGATGAGGTCACCAAATTCTAGCCTGGGTGACAAAGCAAGACCCTGTCTCAAAGAAGAAAAAAAAAATCACTTGCGTAAAATATCTCAGGAGATAGTACTACTACAGGGCAGCCATAGAAGAGTTAAAGGAAGATAAATTCCAGGCCTCTGTGATTCCCACATGAATGGCCAGTAGATGAAGGAACAATTAACATGCTAAGCATGTGAGGCCTGGACTATTCAGCATAACCAACCTCCTCAGTGTCAATGAAGGCTTTGTTAGGCTAAGAGCTCATGGTCTGAGGGCCACCTTCTCTGGGGATGGTCGGACCCGCCAAAAGAGAAGGGCAAAGGGAGAACCGAGTCCAAGTCCTTCCCCATCTGGGAAAACACTAAAGATTTAACAACAATCTTAAGATTTAGCACAATCTTAACAGCCAGAAAGTTTCTGGGAGATGTCCTAGTCCAAACTTTTACAGGTGAGGAAACAGAGGCCCTGAAAGGGGACATAACTTACCTGCCCAAGTCCCAACGATAGTGAGGAGCAGTTTCCTTTCCTTTCCTAACTACTGGAGTTAGCTCCAGTTAGAAATCTCTTTGGGACCCATTTTGAAGCAGTTAAAGAGACCTTAAAACCTGCTTCCAGTTTGGGGACCCATTTCATTTTGCCACTTTGTTCCAGTGGCTGATTCCATTCATGGCTTGACTACATCTATTCTTTTTTGAGTTATTATGAATGGTTTACTAGCTACCTGCCCTCCTTTCTTGAAAGATGGACTCTCATCTTCCAAACATATTATTATTTTAATAATTTAAAGAGATTTATTCTGAGCCAAATTTGAGGACCATGACCTGGAGCCACGCCCACGAAGCCTTGAACAAGTGGACTCCTCATCTTTCAAACATATTAGTTTTCTGAAGAAAAACCCTGGGGCCTGACTAGTGCCAGCTTCCCTGCCACCCATCTATTTAATCCTGGTGCTGAGCTCTAGGCTCTCTGGGCCCTAGGTTCAAAATCCTGACACGTTAGGCTGGGTGTAGTGGCTCGCACCTGTAGTCGTAGCTACCTGGGAGGATAAGGCAGGATGATCACTTGAGCCCAAGAGTTCGAGGCTACAGTGATCTATGATGGTGCTCCTGCACTCCAGACTGGATGACAGAGTGAGAGACTCTGTCTCTAAAAAAATATTCTGGGCCAGGTATGGTGGCTCACGCCTGTAATCCTAGCACTTTGGGAGGCTGAAGCAGGAGGATCGCTTAAACCCAGGAGTTTGAGGTTGCTGTGACCTAGGCTGGTGCCACGGCACTCTAGCCCAGGCAACAGAGCAAGACTCTGTCTCCAAAAAAAAAAAAAAAAAATTCTGGCTTGAGGCCAGGAGTTAAAGACCAGCCTGGGCAACATAGTGAGACCTTGTCTATAAAAAATTTTAAAAAGGCAGAGAGTGAGATATCAAAAATTACCTATCAGGTATGGTATACACCATTTGAGCAATAAGTACATTAAAAGCCCTGATTTCACCACCATATAATTCATACATGTAACAAAAAACATTTGTTCCCCCTACATCTATTGAAATTAAAAAAAAAAAAAAAAATTATTCAGGCATAGTGGCATGTGCCTGTAGTCCCACCTACTTGGGAGGCTGAGGCAGGAGAATTGCTTGGGCCTAGGAGTTCAGGATTGCAGTGAGCTATAATAATGCCACTGCACTCCAGCCTGAGCAATAGGGCAAGACAGTGTCTCTGAAAAAGAAAAAGGAAAAGAAATCCTGGCAATTTACAGTCTAAAGCTTGCAAGCAAATTCCTTATTCATAATTACATTCCCCTGCAGCCCTCAAATGCAGATCCTATGCTGGGTTCATTTTGGCGGCTGACAGGGTGGAATAAGCACAGGTTCCAAAAGCTACCTCACCTTTATTTCCCTCATGAGGAAACACTGTGTAACAGAGTTTTCATCTGCTTTAAATGTAAGAATGTCAGCCCACAGCAGGCACTTAACGGATGCTAAATTTCTGACAGCTGCTCTATTAGCTAGATCTTAATGGGCCACCATGCTACTAGGAGCCCTGATGGTACAGGACACTGCATTTCTGCCTTCCCAGGAAAGCTGCCCTGTGCCCCAGGGAGAGGTGAAACTCACAGAAGCATTCAAAGCACAGGCCCTGAGTCACTGTCTGGAGAACACTCTTAGAAGGCAGGGCCTACGTGGTATAATTATCTTTGTACAATATGTGGTTCACCTATTGGTATAGTCAGGTCAAAAAAATGTTATGTGATCTTGAAAGAAATGACAGCTATGGGCAAAACAACAGATAAAAAGTTGTGGAAATCATATGTTGGAATAAGAAGTAAGGAGAGTTCATGGCTGGGAGTTTCAACTTTATCTCCACCATGTCTCTCATACCCATCTTCTCCTTCCTGTTCTCAGACAACACCCTCAGCACCCCATTACCTCTTGCTGTGTTGGTAAAGGACCAATTACATCTGCCCTCATGCACATGCCATAGGGCATTTATTTACTAAATAGACTGGATGGTGTCATTCCTCTGCCTGCAAAATAAAACTACTCAGCTTCACAATGAAGGCTTTTCTTAATCTGGCCTCAGTTTACCTGTCTCATGTCACTGCCTACTACTTGCCTGCCTGCAGTGCAGCATGAGCCTTAATCACATTGAATTATTTCCTCTACCTAGGACATACCTCCCTCACAGCTTTTTCTGTCTTCATTGTCACTTGTCCTTTAAGACCCTGTTCACTCGAACCCTTATTTATTCCATTAATCCTTCATTTCTTTGCCCTTTTACCCTAGCACTAGTCAGTTTGTCTCCTTGGCTTAATGTCAAGTGATCATAGCTGTCTCTCCTTAAAATATGTTGTTTGTTTCATCATTACATCTTGGCAATGGAAGGTGGTAATAAGCAACTGAGAACTACACATAAAGTGATAAAGGGAATGCTAGAGAGAGGTTAGGATGAGGGGCAGAAAACACCCACCTGTCCTTGACTTGCAGCAGGTAGCAGACCAAGCAGTAGCCAGCACAACTTTGCACAAAATTGCGCTGGGCACTGAGGAATGCCTCAGTGGTGTAACTGCCATGCTCCTGTAGGAAGTAATCGAGCAAGGAGAGCTGTGACTGTTTCTTCACCTGGTGGATGGACACAGCGTTGACCACTGGTTCAATCATGCCACTATCAGCCGAAATCACAAGGATCTTGTATGGCTTGATCCAGAGGGGTACTCGCTCCTGTTCCCAAATGGACTGTGAGGAGACATGAAAGTATTGGGACTTTCATCT